TGGTAGTGACCACAATTATTATTTTTTTTAGTTTTGAAATTTTCGTGGAGGCGTTTAGGAGGGTGGAGTTTAGGTTCAGTTATTCAAGTTTTTCTTATACCAATCTTTGCAAAAAGTTAAAAAACAGCATCAAAAATCTCATTATTTAGATTCCGTTAAATTTTTTTTTTTTTTAATTTGTTTAATATTTTTATGTAAATTTTTTAAGCTTAAACTGTTTTGTCATTTGAGGGGATTTTTCAAAAAACATCTTAAAGAAACTATTTTTATTCATAAAAAACGCAATTTTTGGAGGTATTTTCAAATCGGTCCAGCTCGCTTAATCTTAATATTTTTCCGGACGTCTTAATATTTTGGAGGACGTCTTAAAATATTATAGATTTTATATTTCCAATGGAAAAACAGTACTGATTTTTTTTGTATGGGGAGTGATGCAGTCTAATGTACATATGTATATTGTCATACCTGATAACTTTGAAATGCGGCTGTTTTTCTTGTCTTCAAAAAATTTCCTCGACATCAAATACATACATACATACATACAAGCATATGTACTAGTAATATCTATGTATGTACATTAAGTTCGAGTACATAGCACACTGTTTAAAATTGCAGATTTGCTCACCTTGACCGTCTGTCTGCCATCTGAATTTATATTACTTCTTTTTCATGTCACTTTCTTTTTGCTTTTTATGTATACACTTCTTAAACTGCTTCTTTTCACGCGCGCATTCGTACTCTTTGTGGAACATATTGTACTGAACGCAAAAACGGTTTGGCGTTGTCTTTTTTTTGCTGCATCTTCGCTAGTAAATGGCAGGCAATTGGCTATTGCATATGTGGCTCGTGTCATTATCCGTATCAGTCATATATCACATGTCCTGTTTACCTGAGCGAATGGCATCGGATATATGTATGACATTACATCTTGCAGGGTATCGAATGATAAGGGCACTATGCAGTGGTGAGATAGGTCGATCGTATCTATATACGAGGGTGAATCAATAAGGTCATGATCGGTGTGGATTAGATATGGGCGCAGGCATAATTTTTCCGTCCCGGAACTAGTGAAGAAAACATATTTGAAAACGCGCACGGAGAAAAATTCAGTGAGGCACGAGCCAGCCCGTGATTTGGCACGGATTATCTGCAATTGCACCCGAAAATATTTACTTTAACGAAAAAATTATTAAATTCTTGTTCAAAAAACTAGTGTCATATGTGTATTTATTTTTGCAAAAGCAAACTATTTTCTAAGTTTAAGTTTGGTAAATAGACGCCGTCGTTTTTTGTCCGATAACGAAAATACCCAATCACTAGTTAAGGAAAAATTCAATACAGTCTTACTTGCATACAACTTGCAGTATTTTCGAGTCCAATTTTTGGCGAAATTCTAAAACTGGCAAATTCAAGACGCGAAGTAAATGCTAAAAATCTCAATTTCAACTTTTTTTTTGCTTATGCCTAGTTTTTTTTACGATTTAATTTACCCCTGCCCGTGCCCATTCCTACTGTAGATTATTTCACTCACGTCCCACAAACTTGTCGCCTACAGTTTGGTCTTCTTCAGCGAAAATTTCGATGGTCACTTGGTAACCGGTGTGTTTTGGGAGTTTCATGTTTCATCTACAGTTATGGAACAGAGTCCCCATACATTATTTAAAGTTTACATAAGTCTTATGAATATTCGAACGAATACATTTTTTTGCGTGAAACTCTCATTGGAATCGGAGAGCGTGTGTGAATCGGTAACAAAGTTCGCTGCGAGTAAATTTTTGACAAGTTTGAGGTGTATAAAATTTCATTAGCTCATGAGGCTAGTGACATTTTTGACAGATGCATATACAATTTTGACAATTGTAGACTGTTGATGTGTATAATTTTTCTGCCCCAAATTTAAGCAAAAACAATAAAATATAAGGAAATGGAGTTTTTGGTGGTAAAATTAAGAAGTATTACACTACATTAAATATTTCTGATAAATAAATTTCTTTAATGTTTCAAACGCTTTAATTGATTAAAATTAAATTGATTAAAAGCTTAAATTGATGAATTGCAATCAATGATGGTAAATGTTTTCTTAAAATATTCATTTCACTTCATTTTATAATATTTTATTCTACGGTTGTCAAAAATTTACTGTTGATTTCATTTCACACAGCAGATTAGCAAAACTGTCTCCCCATAACAAAAATAATATTCACCAGCTTTCCCCACAGAACTTTGTTACCGATTCACACACGCTCGAAGACTACTTTAAATATATAACGCCACGATAAAAAGTATGTACACTTATGGACAAAATAATAAATGTAGACAGCTTTTGTTTAATAACTTTAAATCAATTGTAATTAAAAAAAATTTCTTTGTTTATATTAAGATTTTATTTTATTAAACTAAAATATTTGCAAATCATTTCGTTCCATATTTTTAAACGAAAGCTTAGGTATGATAAAAAGATATCATTTGTCAAAATAGTAGGTGTAAAACACTTTTAGAATTAAAAACAAAATCTTCCGTTTATGCTTTACTTAGTCCATGGTTTTTTAATAACCTGTATACCCTCCATGGTTTTATATAAGTTTCCCTATTCCATTAGGCATGGCTTATACTATTTTTTAATAGGTTTCCGTTGGAGTAGCACCCCATACTTTCTGGACTTTCTGCCACAATTTATCCTTATTTTTAAATGGAAAGCATGCCACAATCTCTTAAGACCACTCTCCAAGTTCTCAATCGGTTTGAGACGATAGAATTGATTTGGACATTGTATCCAGACCATATTTACATCTCTTAACCAACCTGAAGCATGTTTTGGGCCGTTTTCTTTTTAATAAAACCATTTCAGTGGCATGTTTTGTTCTTAATATGACAGCATAACATATTACAAAATGTCTTTGTACTAGACAGCGGTCAATGTGTCTTTTATACAAAACAAAGGGCACAAATTTTTTAATTAAAAATGATTTAAAAGTTATTAAACAAAAACTGTGTACACCTATTATTTTGTCCATAAGTGTATAAGGCGAGTGCGTGGACAGAAAACGAACGGCTGAGACAAATACAAATGCAAAAAAAAATTATATAGACAAAGATAATGTTATAAATTTAGTGATAACGACAGAGATAAAGACAAAGGCAACAACAAAGACAAAGTCAAATATAAAAATACAGAGATTAAGATCGGTGTTAAAGAGAAGATGAAGGTGAATATATGGAGATATGTGGATAAGAATATGAAGATGGAGGTGGAGTTGATGGATAAAGATTAAGACGAAGGCGAGGGTGGAGATGAAAATGAATAGATATCATGGTGAAGATGAAGCTGAAGATGATGATGATGATGAAAATTAAGTAGAAATTAAAGATGAATACGAAAATGCAGATAACGAAATAAAGATATAAGTTAAGATACAGATCAAGTTGGGGATAAAGATGAAGATGAAATAACATAATGATAAAGATAAAAACAATGATGAAGATTAAGATAAAATTTAGATATAAAGCAAGAGAGGTGATATTGGTAAATATAAAGAGATTGAGCATAAGCCTAAGATAATATCTCAAATGTTGAGTAAACTAGGCAGTTTATTATAATAAGGAAAATAAAGCACACAACTAAATATTTATATTTGAAAATATATTGCAATATTATTTTTGGAATTTTTCCTATGAGTTTCACTTCTGGCGCGCGTAGGAACTACATGCACTCAATTTGTTGTTTTTTTTTTCATTATCATTCAAGCCGCAACGCGGAAAATTCAAAGTCACAAAGTTATTTAATAACCCTCGTATGTAACTATTCGTTCACCATACTCAAGTGCATATTACGAATGCTTTTCGGTATTCGCTAATGCAGAAAAAATGCATACAGAACTGAGCGGCGACAGAGCCGAAGCCGCCTGCATGTGTGCTGCTTGTTGGTGGGCCTGTATGCACTGCACGTTCGTCTGCTAGAACGTTGGGTGACGGTGTGCCTGCCTGCCTGCCTATAGAACGGGGCTGCCAGGGAATGAGAGAGAACGACGAGCGTAGCAATCTTGGTAGCGGGCGCAGGCGAATACGTGTGTGCAAGCGAGTCAGAGCAACGCAAATATCGAATATGTGCTGGTATTTTGTGGCATGTGGCTCTGCGGCTGCCGAAAAAAGTTTGCTTCCTGCTCGGAAACGTTGCTGAGATGTAGCCGCTGCCAAACGTCAGCGCCGCTGCCAAACGTAGCAGCGATAAATTTCAGTACCATACGCCTATTTTGGCTTAGTTTCTTTTAGTACTCGGTTAGATTTGCACTTTGATTATTCGGCTTTGACAACTTGTTGTTTTTAGCGCGTTTGCAAATAAATTTTTTACACATTATTGTTTGCCACCATCCGTTAGAGTGGTGGTGTGGCAAGCACCAGCAGCGATTATCAGCCGACAGTAGGCAACAATAGGGTGGGCTGTGTTGTTGAAATCACGCGTATCGGGTTTGCATTGTCGTCATCAAGTAGTGATAAAGCGAAATGCATATTTGCCGCGGCATATGAGCATTTTTGCGTTCGCTGGTTTGTTTATTTGGCTTTTTAGTGCTTATGTCATTGTATATGTACGTAGTGTGTGAACGTAGTAGATAATAAATTCTAAAATAAAAATTATAGTTAAAGTAAATGTTGGCGAAAAAGTGAGTACAAACAAACATTGCGAAAAAGGCCGAGTAAAAACACTTACGGAAGCGTAAAATCACGATGCTGCTTGTTTGTTGAGTTTCAGCGCTGTAGCTAGTCACTCTGGGAGTGTTCTTTGCCACGGTTCGAGTGCCAATTTTAGTGAAGCGTGCTTGTTGTGAAAGGTGTGATGTCACTTTTTTAATACATATGTACATATCTTACTTGAAGCATAATAATCTGTTTCTAATTATATTTTATTATAATTTTTCACTTTTCTGCTAACAACTAACTACTAACACCCCGACCTTGTGCTAATTAATGAACTAAAAAAAATTGTTTAAAAATCAATAAAATAGAAAACGCGCTGACACAACTACAACTGCATGTAGTATTGGAGAATCGAAGCAGAAAATCAGCGAAACGCTGTGGCGAGCGCCAAAAATATAACGCAAGTCACAAGAACAACCAGGCGAAATAAATATTTCATAAAGAAACGTGAAATAAAAAAAGAAAAAGTAGAATGAGCTGAGAAATCGAACGTTAAACTGAAAATGTGCGAATTATTTAAAAATGATTTCCGAAAATAAATTAGACGCGTGACAAAAACGAAACCACAAATAAAAGCATAATTGAGGAATAAAATAATTTTGTTGAAAAGAGAACTGTATAATCAAAAACAAAAAATCGCATGAAAAAAATATTTTAAAACTATTATTTTTCCTAATAAGTTAGACAAACCTAAAAAAATTAAATTGTAATTATTCAACTGCGAAAAACTACGAACAAAACGAATACGAGCTACGAACATACACACGAATATACCTACACTCTACGACGACATCATCGTATCAAAACACACAACGTTTTTGGGCCAAACGCCAACAATAGCAAACACCGTTGTTCTACAAATAAGCGGGCGCGTCGCGCAGGCAATCAGGCCGTCAGTCAGTCAGCCAGCGAGTCAGTCAGTTGTTGAAGCGATTAGAAAACCTGCAATAAAATCGAAATCAGCTGAAAATTTTCAGTCACAACACACCCAAACGCCCATATTTCCACGCTCACAAGCACACACAACTTGACAACAAAAAAAAAAATTGCAGCTGACTTCGGCGCGGACAACAACAACGACGACATAACGATGATGTACGAATAAATGTACGTAAAGACATGCACGGCAAGTATAAAAAATTAAATAAAATATGATTTTATTTTTAGATTTTTTAAAACCATAAAAATCTAAAAAAAAAAATCATATTTCCTTCCGTTGTACTTAATTGTTGCTGTGTTTTCCCGTATAAGCTAATCGCATTGTTGTTGTTTGACGTAATAACGTAGTTATGTGTTCTGTAAAGTCGAAGCAAGAAGCTCAAAAAAATGTACACATAGACGCATATACTTATTCGCTCGTGCAGCAGTTTCTGTTTCAAAAAATCCAAAAAAAGAAAAATTTCAAAAGTAAAAAAACGTAGTAAATAAAATTGCAGAAAACAATTGTCATACAACCACGTAGTATTTATTCGCTAACATGCAGCGTAGGCGTACATGTGTGGGCCAGTGTTGCCGTTTTGCTTAAATTTAAGCAAAATTGATTAATTTTTCTTCGTTTTGCTAAATTTGTTGATTAAAATATTCAAAAAGGATAATTTTCTTCAAAAATTCATTTCTGACTATGAGGCAAATTCCAATCCATTTTTCAATTTTGTTTTAGGATCCCCTATAAAGTTCCAGGAAATGTTGCACTAGGCAACTGCCGATCCGCAGTCGTTGCATTTTCAAACCTCTTGAGTGTTTTTCTGTCATGAAATCGTTTCTCATAAAAACCATTTACAGTTCGCAGGCGACCTTAGGTCCCCTCATTCGCTTGACAAGATCAACATGCACATTATGGATAACATGATACCAAACTCGTTTTATGCATGCATTCAAAAAACTAGCGAAAGGGCAGCTAACTATTATAGGAGTTGGAGGAGTTGAAAGCCTGAAAAAATGTGTAGGTAATAGTTTTCGAATTAAGCAACTGTTAAGCTATAAAATCCACCACCAAGCTTGGTAAGAAAAGCCCAAATTAATTAAATAAGTTGCTTAAATTTTACGGGATTTGGTAAATTTTGTTTAACGATTTTGGTAACTTTTACTATACGGCCGCGGCAACACTGGTGTGGGCTTATGTCTAGCTATATTTGTGTGCCGATTTTCCGTACTCGCGTGCGCGTTCTCTGTGAGGTTTCTCAGCCGCCATGCCATGCTCATGAGCATCCTCTAACCAGAAACTCTCTTTTGTGTGTCTCTAATTCGCTTTGTGGTCGGCTTTCATTTTTAATTTGTTTTATTTTTAACAATTCACAGTTTTATTTTGTATTTGCTGCACATTGTTTTCTTAAATTTTTTTCCTTTACTTTATGTTTTGCACTCATCCGTCTGTATGCTGCTGCTGCTTCGTGCACTTTTCTCATTTATTTATTGGTTATTTACTCTATTCGCCTCTTCATATGTAATCATTCATCCAAACATATTCGTGATTTGCACTTCTTCTTTATTTTGAATATTTGCGTACAAAGCTAAAAACTTTATTATTTTATGATTTTTTTTTCTATTTCTAGGTTATGCAATTTCATTTATCGCCTTACCCAAATTAGATTTTATCATTTTACAAATTTTTCCACATGTTTCTACTAAATATTGGGCACATACAGACATACATACTACATTAGACTGTCCCAATAATATGTATATGTATGGAAAAAATTTGTTTGCAAATTTTGATATGCAACCCTCTATATGTTTGCTTTTTGGCCTAAATAGCATATATATTAAGTTTAATGGCCGTACTATAACGATAACCCGTGCCGACTTTTAATTAAAGTTTTAATTAATAACAAGAATTAATCGTCCATGAAAACTTTGGAAATGCGAAAAATTCGATAAGTGACCCATATTTGAACGCATTTCTAGTAGATCTGCATCTTTAAATTTTTAATAGGGCGTGAGAATTTTTCACAAGGACATCGAAAAAATTAATTGAAGGCAAATATCCTTTGGAATTTTTATCCTTTATATATATTTATAGGATTTAAATTTAATTAAGATTCTTCCAAATGCATTCAAAATTCAAACTCTTGAAGGATAATATGTTTAAAGGACATTTTGACATGTTCCAAAAGGATACTTAGAAATAAAAGTTATAATTAATCTTGTTTTGAATTTTTCTTTTAATTGATACCCATATATATATACAGTGCCGGACAAAAGTATTGGCACAGAGAATTTTTCGCAATGTATGCAAAGTTTTTTATTCTAATTTATTTTCACAAGGACATCGAAAAAATTATTTTAAGGCAAATATCCTTTGCCATTTTTATCCTTCAATATCCTTATACATATTTATAGGATTTAAATTTAATTAAGATTCTTCCAAATGCATTCAAAATTCAAAATCTTGAAGGATAATATTTTTAAAGAACATTTTGACATCTTCCAAAAGGATAATTAAAAACAAAAGTTATAATTACTCTTGTTTTGAATTTTTCTTTTAATTGATACCCATATATATGTATAATTATATATTATAATTTATGGTCCTTTGAAAACAATCCTGACTACCTGGTAAAAAACTAAAAACGCCGATTTATTAAATATTATGCCCTAATACTGTGGTGAGTATAGTAATATCGCCTTATATAGAAGTAAAATGAGTATGTTAACAAAACACGCGAACGGCAGTTTAAGTAAAAAAAAATCAACTCATCTTCGACAATTTTCTTTTAAAATTCAACGGAATTTTTTTCCAGCTTGAAACTTGCACTTCGTTATATTAGCATTAAATAGGCTACAAAAGTGCATACCACAATTGCTTCTAAAGGTTCTGATTAAAAAATTAAAAATTTGGCTTAAAATTTGCGAAATTTTTATAATTTGTGTACAAAGTTTGGAATCTGAATTTATTCGGTGGTTTTTTGTATACGCAGCTTGACTTTTATGAAAAAAAATAATAAACATTAAATCAACAAAAGACAAATAGCCAAAACTGGTCAAAATATCGCAATACTATTATTTGTGGACAACTGTATATCCCATTTTACTAAATGGAGCATATTCGACTTGGTAAATCATATTTTTTCGTTTTCCAATAAAAACATTGTCACTCATTTAGGAACTCTAGGACGAGTTAAAGTTCGAAGGTCAATTAGAGGTTGAAAAAGGCACTTCCGAGAGAAAAGTTTCAAACAAAAGTTAAAAAAAAAGATAGAGCATCCACGATTTAGTAGGTCAAATTTTTGCGGTGTTCAATAAAAAACATTTTCCAATTTTTTAGTGGGGATGGACGAGTGGTCTAGGACACCCTGTATAGTACATAGGTGTAACCGAAAAATGGAAAAGAAATTGCCTTACACAAACACTTTAGCCTGTAAGGTAGGTGGATATGGTCTAATGTACATATACATATGTTTACGTACATAAGTACATGTGTATCATATTTGCAAAATGAGTATATAATGATAGCATTTTGTTTATCTCATAAATTCACTGCACCTACCAGTTCGTGACGTTGGTATTCATAACTTCCAAAACATATTATTAGATAAGCACTTTGTTTACATATATGTATTCGATAACTTATTTGTACATGTTAATTGACTTATATAACAGATACATTTTTAATAAGAGCATCTCAAATTTCAATTTCATAAGTGTCATGTGTGCTGTATACTCTTAATACGCTTAAATATGTTGTGGGTGGTGAGCTGAGGTGTTCGTTTTTTGTTTGCCTTCTCACGTTTATATGGAGCAGTGCACCATGGCATCGTTGGAATCGTTGAGAACAACTACAAAACGAATGCTCACAAATATTCATAAAATCCAAAAGAGGATCGCATACATATGCCTTCTTTACAGCTAATGCCAAGATCAGCTGTTGTTGAATTTCAGTAATTCCAATGACATTATCGGGCAGGTTCTGCAATTCACTTCCGAGTGAGTCTCAACCCCTGCCAATTTGAATTCAAAGCGAGTTTGATTGAAATTCACTCGAAAGTGAATTGCAGAACCTGCCTGCATATACTGTCAAAATAACTTTACTATTTGATTGAAAAAATATATATAATAATAATAATAATACACCATAATATGATTGCAAATAAAAAAAAAATTATAGTTTAAAAAACTAAAAACCAGGTTACTTCAAGAATGGAAATTTAAATAAATTCCAATTCGTACTGTCATCAGGTTTTGAGAATGGAATCGCTGCATCTTTTAGGCGCATCACTATTACATATAAGTATTTTCTACAAGAATGAAAGTAAAGGTGACTACGTACATAGATAAAGAAAAGAATAAAGGCAAAGGTAAAAATAAAAACAAAGATGCGTAAAGATAAAGGCAAAAATGAAGACCAAAGTAAATTTAAACACTTGACTTATATATATATAAGGGCAAAGGTGAAGGGGAATATGTAGTTGAAGAAAATGATAAACATAAAAGTAAAGAGAAAGACGAGGATGAGGATACCGATAAAAGTAAAGATGAAGATAGGGGAAGAAAGATTAAAATAATGGTAATTAAAGAGGAAAAAATATAGAGACACAGAGACTCAATCTGGGAACTATTTTGGGATTTTAGAGTTTTTCGGAACTTATCGCTAAAATAATCGATATTTTTATCGGTTTTGTTATCGATTTTTTATCGATATTTTTATCAATTTTGCTATCGATATTTTCGGAACTTATCGATATAATAATCGATATTTTTCTCCATTTTGTTATCGATTTAGTAATCGATATTTTTTAACTATTTTGTTAGCGATATTTTTTATCGCTATTTATCGATTTTGTTATCGATGTTTATCGATTTTGTTATCGATGTTTATCGATTTTGTTATCGATGTTTATCGATTTTGTTATCGATGTTTATTGATTTTGTTATCGATATTTATCGATTTTGTTATGGATATTTTTATCGAGTCTAATAGATTTTGCTACCAATATTATTATCGATTTTGCTATCGAAATTTTTATCGATTTTGTTATCGAAAAAACAGAATAAGATAAATGTGATTAGAACGAACAGGGGTAGAGGTAGGGATCTAGATAGAAAAAAGACAAAAAATATAACCTTAAGCAAAAGTAGATGTATGTATGTATGTATGTATGTACATATGT